CCAAAGCTAATTGGAATAATCACATTCTCCTTTCTTGAATTCATTTTTTCAGTTACAGATCAAATCCTGCTTTTTCAGTGTCTTAAATAGCAATAGTGAAGAATGTCTTTAGGACTAGCAAACTAGAAGCATGATTTTGGTGAATTCATCAGTTTAAAGTTTTGCACACTCAAAACTTGTATTGATCATCACACTCAAATTACATCAAGTTCTCAGGAGGTAGGGTTATAATGACCAAGCTTGTAAAGCTGTTCTATAAGCCAGATTGCCAGCTGATTAATTTGTAAGAATAGTTAAGTACCAAGAAGACTGAACAGTCCTATCCTCAGGTCAGTTCATCTAAATTATGAAATATTGACAGGCATGATGGCACACACCTGTAATCGAAGCTTCTTGGAGCAGGAAGATCATAAGTTCAAGGTCAGCCTGGGCAACTTAGTGAGACCCTGTCTAAAAATAAAAAGTAAGCCAGGCACTGTGATGCACACCTGTAATCCCAATGGCTGAGGAGGCTGAGACAGGAAGATCAGGGGTTCAAAGCCAGCCTCAGCAACAATGAGGGGCTGAGAAACTCTGAGACCCTGTATCTAAATAAAATTCAAAATAGGGTTGGGGATGTGGCTCAGTGGTCAAGTGACCCTGAGTTTAATCCCTGGTACCAAAAAAACAAATAAATAAATATAAAAATAAAAGGGCTGAGGATGTAGCTCAGTGGTAAATCACCCCTGAGTTCAATCCCCAATACTACAAAAAAATCAATTGATTTTGAAATACCTAGCATTTTCTCAAAATGCTCTCCAATAGCTCAGTGGTAAATCACCCCTGAGTTCAATCCCCAATACTGCAAAAAATCAATTAATTTTGAAATAACTAGATAAAATACAGAAGGGGGAAAAAGCATTCTTGAAACATTTTGGAGTTCTGCAGGGCCTCCCTAGGGGAAGTATGGGAGTTATAGAAGCTGTAAGACACAGGAATGAGGAGGAGAAAACACTAGCCTAAATTGGAAAGTGAGCACATCATGGGGTTTTCAGAGAACATTATCAAGATGTGCACATTTATGTTCCATCCTCAATGGTGGGCATGAAGCAAAGTCAAAAATAGAAGGGAGGGGCTGGGTTTGTGGCTCAGTGGTAGAGCGCTTGCCTAGCATGCATGAAGCACCGGGTTTGATCTGATTCCCAGCACCACATTAAAAAAAATCTAAATAAACAAAATAAAGTTATTGTGCCCATCTACAACTAAATATATTTTTTTAAAAATAGAAGGGAGACAGGTACTGTGGTGTACACCTGTATTCGCAGCTACTCAGGAGATTAAGGCAGGAGGCTTGCAAATTCCAGGCTAGCCTAGGTAATTTAGTGAGACCCTGTCTCAAAATGAATAATAAGTTTCCCAGGCTAGTTAGGAAAGGCTAAAATGTTAATTGTAAGAAAAGAAAATAGAAGCCATGTTTTGAAGACTTCTATTACAGCTCTGAATTGCATGCAGTTACTTGGGCAAGTGGGTCAGGGCTCGGTCCTGAGACAGGCAGAAGGGAAAAATCCAGTAACAATATTTTCTCTATCAACGAATGAGAGTGGCAATCATGGGAGAGTGAAGAATTCCAAATGGGTAATATCAGTTAAAAGCAACATGGCATAGAATATCAGTGTTCAGCCGGGCCTTAGAGATATACCATATCAGTATGTGGAAAAGGGTTCTTAAATTTATGTGGAAGGGAAAGTAGACTATGGTGAATCAATGAATAAAAATAATGTGAGGTGACAAGCAACAACAATCATAGATGATAACATTATATTTCTGAGTGACCAGACAAAATAAAAGGCATAGAATGGATGATTCTTCTTGGCTGCTGTTTGGTACAGTCCCATTTCTAAATCATGTATAGTCTTTATAGTTTCTAAGGACAAGAATCAAAATGCTCTTTTATATGATCACATAAAAATAAAAATGGCTGTAACATAGCTCAGTGTTAAGGCACCCCTGGGTTTAGTTTCCAGTGCTAAAAAAGGACAAAAACACAATTAAATATGAGGCATGCTCTTTTATTGAGGATATTAAAATCCTATTCCTATATCTAGGGTTCCAGAAGAAAAAGAATGTCTAATCTCTTATTCAGTTGGAAATTCAGAAAATGAAAACATTATCTCCAAGACCTATATAAGGTACTATCTAAGGTTGATACCTTAGTAAAACAGAAGTTTAAATACACTTGTCTAATCAGAAGGCTTAAGCAGTTTTAATAATCAATTTCATAAAGCCCATCATGGAGTCCACTTATGCCCCATGTCATGCCCTGTGAGATATCAATGGCTGTATGAATACCTGGATCAATTGAGCAAAATTTAAACCATTCAATGAAAAGAGAGAGTCAGCCCCTTTCTTGAATTCTGTGGTTGTTATTAGGAGAGGTTAGAACAAAGGAGTTGGTGAGAAATAAACAACCCCCAACCAACACTGTTCATGTAGGGCTCCTGACTGAGCTCCATCCTGACTCTGCAACCTGTTCTCAAGGTTGTTCTTCCCATTTGCACCACCTTTTACTTTCTCCCTATTTCCATCTCCAACATTGTAAGTGCACTGAGGTAACTCCAAGGACATAATTTAATGTGAAGTACTCCATATAGAGTGATATTTTTAAAGTTTTCACATATTTATTACTCAATCAACCTACTGGGACAGAGCATAGAAACAAAAGAAATCATATCCCCCGCCCCCACAAAAAAATATGTCCAACTTTCCAGGCAGTGGTATCACTTTCAGATTAATCCAGTAAAATTTTAGTGACCTCAATGCAGCATAAAGATGTATGCCGTTTCATGTGCAATTCCTTATAGATGCAGCCTGGTTCTTTTCCAAAGACTCTGCTTGGAGTTGTTCCTGGTTTTATTACTAGTTTTTTTCTGAATCCATTAGAGAAGGGGCAATTTTGCTTTTGTTTATTGGCTGGGAATTGTTTGATCTGAAATGTCTTCTGAGAAGATATAGCAAGGAACAAAGTCAAGTGCACACACCATGATGGCTGAGAAAAAAAGCCAGGGAAATTTTTGTAATCCTTTCACAAGCAAAATGTATACATTCTATAATAAATATAGTTTATTAAAAATAACTATATTTATAATAAACCTCATGTGTGAGGTAGAGAAGAAAATTGGTGTAGTGGGAAAATAAGAAGAAAGCACCACTTTTCTTCAGACATTTTCTTGGAATAGGTATTTTAGAATATGAAAAATGAGAAGCACAGAGAAAATAGGGTAGGTTTGAGCAAATTGAGTGATGTGGATGGTAGATGTCTTCTCAACATTAACTTGAACCCAGTGGTTCAAGAGGGTAAGCATTAGGATGATCAGGAAAGCCATCTAGTTGGGTGAGGTGGTGTACTCCCGGAGTCCCAGTGACTCAGGAGGCAGAGGCAGGAGGATCACAAGTTTGAGGTCGGCCTCAGCAATTTAGTGAGACCCTGTTTGAAAATAACAAATAAAAAGGGCTGGGCATATGGCTCAGTGGTAGATCACCTCTGGGTGCAAGCCCCTGTACCACAAAAAAAAAAAAAAAAACCGACACTGAACTAAAAAGATTATTAAGATAAAGTGTGAAGGTTGAGGTCCAGATGTATGTATGAATCAGTGGAAGCCAGTCCAGACAGTAGGGAGAGAGAGCAAAAGTATGGATTTCCTTGATGACAAGACAATCTTAGCAACAATAATAAGGTACCAAGTTATGGGTGTTTTAAAATGGGCCTGCGAGTTCTTTGATATACTATGCCTCTCTTCCTAAGGTAGAGCCCAATTCCTCTACCCCTGAGTGTGAACTAAATATTGTAACTGACTTCTAAAAAAAAATAGAAATGATAGTGTGTGGCTTTAGAGACCTAGTCCTAACAAGCACTGAGGCCATTTCCTTACTTGGTTTGTTCATTGTACATATTTTTACTGGTTTCACTTGGCTTGATCCCTTTCACCTATGGCTACATTGCCATAGATGACTGAAGATCTGATCTTACAAGGACAAATAGGAGCACAGACTTTGGAACACGCAGGTCCCATAATGTGGTAGTGGTCTTTCCTTGGGACAGTCACCTCTGACTAAATCTAGCATAGGAACAACTACTTCCTTGATCAGATCAAACTCTCTATTCTTATTGGTTACACCCATGTTTCATACTCTCATGGACAGCATGAGGAGCAAAACCCTTAGGGGTACACTGAAGAAGCTTCTAGGTGGTTCAGAGATGCAGAACTATGGCCATCAAAAGCATGGTTATGTCCTTGCTTCTCCCCACACAAAGGCTCTTTCTCTCTCTTTCCTGTCAATGCAGCCATCTATTATCTTACCATCTGAATAGAAGGCAGCAAGGTAACTTAAAAAGTCATGACACTGGGAGTAGAAATACTTGAGTATTTGCTTTACCACTGATTATTGGAAGGGCCAGCAGATGGCAGTGTAGTGACCATAGGCTGTCCCTAAAACCAATCTGCAACCAGTTCGTTAAATAAACATACTTGGGAACCCTCTCCGTGCTATGTTTAATCAAAGATGAAATACTTTATCAGTCCATTTCACATTCCACTTGCCTCAGTCTATATTCTGATGGATTACTGCTCTTTGTGCTACCACTACCTTTATAAACCATAGATGGATGAAGAGGAGCAAAAATGAAGGCAGAAAACCATATTTAGAAGTCTTAATATTGTCCTCCACTCTTTCACTTGCACTCCAAATCCCAATCCTCTTCAAAATAAGTCCAGAAACTCCCAATTCAGAATAAGAGATACATGAAAAGCAGAAGAGTGTTTGAATGTCCATCAAAAGGGAAATGATTGAAGACTGAATATATATTGTGGTACAGGCCTAAATGCAGTTTTAGAATATGAGGTGGACATACAGAATCAGAAAAAAATTAAGACACCGCATAGATTATATATATTTAGTTAAGAAAGATATAGTTATCATAGTTATTTTCTCTAGGGTCTAGGGTAGGAATGCACTTCTGGAGGTAGTTATGAAGCTGATTTATTTGTAAGGGAGAACTGTCATAGGAAGACTAGGAATGTTGCAGGAAGAAGCAGGTCCCTCAGTTTCTTGTGTCCTGAGCAGGCAAATTACTGATAGCATAGTCATGTCCCCCCCCACACACACACCCCAAAGATTTATTTAAAATGAAATTACATTCAGCATGGACACTGCTCAGTCTCCAGAGTGAGAATGACACCTGTGTTCCCCGGAGGTCCTGTCTACACATTCTTTAGTTTCTGGTTTTGTCAGGCCTGAGAACCTAATTGAGACCAACCAATGTGGTACGTTGGTTTTCTTGCTTTGCTCAATGGGGATATCTACTGATCTGTTTATGTTTAAGGTCTGTTCTGTATGTGGGGAAATGGGGGTGGGGTGTGGTACTTGTTCTGTCCTTATGGTCTGTGGGCGCCCTGTGAGCAGGGCTGACAACCTGTTCTCTTGAGAGGCTGACTGTACACCCTGCTTCTTCAGAAAACTGATTTCCTCTCCCTGGGAAATTGTATCCCTGGGACCTCCCATCGTTCCTGCTGATCCCCAGCTTTTCTACCGATCAAGAATGTTTTGTGGTTCTACCGTAATATTTAAAAACAAAATTAGGAATAAAGTAGATCAGAAATGAATTTTAACTACTTCTGTCGATAGAAAGTCATCTGAACTCTGCCTCGGATTCCTCGTCTGGAGGGCGAAAGCAGCTCCAGTACCGACGTCCCGGCTGTTGGGCGGGGTTGAGGTCGCGGGGTGTGAGGCACTACGCCGAACAGAGCAAGCCCCGAGGTGTCAGCACAGTTTCACCACCTCGTCCGTGAAACCGGGTTGTGAGCCTCGCGTCGCCTGCTAACACAAGCGACAAGGGGAAGCGCCTCACAACCGGTGCCTCCGTGGACGCACGGAGGGGTTCTCGGACGTTATGATTGGTCCAGAGTATGAGAGAAGGACCCTCACGGTGAGAACCCAAGTCGATTAGCAGAGGGCGGAAACCAGGAGGAAGGGGGCGGTCTTTGAAGGCGAACTTTCGGACCTGGCCTGTGCACTTGCGTCCCGACTTTCAGATCCCGGCGTGCCGCGCGGCAACTTCCGGCGTGCCCGCGGTAGCTTCCGGCGTGCTAGGTGAGTCTCGCTGGGCTGGGCTTTTCATGGCGCGTGTATGTAAGGGCTGTGTCTTCGCCTTCTGCCCCGCTGCTGTCAGCTCCTGGGTCCCGGGACGCAAAACCTCGGTGGCGGAGACAACTGGGCCTTCTATCTGGGAGGCGTGGCGTCACCGAAGCCTTCTTGCAAGAGGACTACATAGAAGCTACTTGCCCTCAGAGAGCGGTAGATAAACCCTCCCGAAACCAGTTCTGGTATTAGGTGGGTGCAGATAAAGCGCCCTGAGAGTACCGGGCAGGGGCGAGGCTTCGAAGGATCTGGAGGCTTCAAGAAGGTGGAGGTGGCTTTGTTATAATCCTCATCCTTTCGTTTTCAAGAGGATGAGACCCTCTTGAGGACATAGAATTTTCTTCTACATTTGTAAGGTCTAGGCTCAGGTGTTCTTTCCTGGTTGGGAGGGGTGGAGAACAGCCATTCTTCGTATTCACTGTCTATGGAAAGAATGAATTAGGACTTTGGGGAAAGAGTGTTTCAGGCAGGAAAAGCTTGGTGGGTGAAGATGTTAATCTATTTCTAGATCAGGGATTCTCTACCAGGGGCGATTTTGCCCCTCAGAGGATATTCCCAGACATTGCCAATGTCTGGAGATAATTTTAGTCATCACTGGGATGGTGCTACTGGCATCTAGTGGGAGGTGGTCAGGGATGTAACCAAATATCTTTCAAAACAGGTTGCCCACCTACCCCAACCTAAGATCTATCTTACCCCAAATATCAGTCGTGCTGTTTTAGATGCCCTGCCTTAAAATGATAGTAGTGGAAATGGAAGGGGTACAGATGTCAGAGACATCTCAAGCAAAGACCAGTTTTGCCTCTGCATTAGCTTTTCATCACTGTGACAAATAACAGAAAAACAACTTTGAGGAGAAAACATTTGTTTTCAGCTAAGAATTTTCATTCTGTAGTCATCCAACTCCATTGCTCTGGCCTGAGGTAAGGTAGAAAATAATTGGCTGAAGGATGTGGTGGAGGAAAACTTCTCAGCTCATGTTAGCTAGGGATACAGAGAGGAAGAGGCCAGGGACAGATACAGTCCATAAGGGCATATCTTGAAGGATTCACTCCTTTAATTATGTCCCCCTTTCACCACCTACCAGTAGTCTATTCAGTTATCAATTGATTAATTCATTGATGAGGTCAGAGCCTTTATGAATGTGATGAGAAAACTATACATTCTTTAGTTCTTTTTTAGAGTGAGGAAATGAAGAGAAATAAATTCTCACATGACCTCTTTTCCAGAGCAAAGATTTTATCTGAGAGACCTAGCTGGAGGTGATTCTTCAGAGTTGTAGGAACTGAATTTTGAGCTGCAGATCAGCTTATGCAGTTGAACTCCTCACCTATCCTTGTTGTCTCTCAGGTGGTTGATGGTAAAGCTAACCTCTCTCAAAGGGATTGGCAATTTGGAGATCTCCCACCAGCCCTCCAGACTGTAGCAAGTATCTGGGCTTCTCAGGGTCTTCCACCAACTCTGAGAGCTCTGTTGTTAAAGGCAACAGCTGACATTGCACTCAGGAGAGAACTCTGGGGCTAAAGCAATTCCTGACCATCCTACACAGGGAGATTCAAGCTGGGTCTGAGTGATGGAGCATCACCCAGAAAGCAACGACCTTGGTACAGGATTTGGAGTGAGAACCTGGGGGACCAAAGTAACGGCTTTTTTCTGTTTGTTTTTGTATTGGGGATTGAACTCAGGGGTGTTTTACCACTAAGTTACATCTCCAGACCCCACCACTTTTCTGGTGGTGCTAGGAATTGAACCCAGGGCCTTGCATATGCTCGCAAGTGCTCTCCTACTGAGATGGGACCCCCAGTCCCATCTCCATCTCTTTTTATATTTATTTATTTATTTATTTTGGGGGGGGGCTGGGGATTGAACTCAGGGCCTTGTGCATGCAAGGCAGGCACTCTACCAACTGAGCTGTATCCCCAGCCCCTCCTTTTTATTTTTTGTTTTGAGATAGGGTCTCTTTAAGTTGCCAGAGCTGGCCTCAAACTTGTGGTCCTCCTGCCTCAGCCTCCCGAATGGCTGGGATTACATGCATGTGCCACTGCATCAAGGCAGTGGGAGGGTAAGGGAGTATGGTCAGAGAAAATGGATAGCAGGTTGTAATGGGCTTGGGTATGGGACAGGCAGTGGGAACAGGTGGAAAATCTTGATTTTGTTGCTCTTCCTTCTTTATCACTTCTTTTTTTCCCCAGCCGGTGTCCATGTCAGCCTTCCTAAGAGAATGCTGTTTTTCCTTTCCAGGAGAGTGGGCCAAAGGCAAGACTGGATGTTCTCACCAAACACTAAGCTTTCAGTAGGTCTCTCCTCCTCAATAATGAAGAGAGACACATATCCCCTGTAGAACACAAACTTTTTCCTCTTCAAGTTATATTCAACTGAGCCAGCTCTGAATGAAAATCTTCTGGTTCTTGAAGTGCTTGCTTTGTGATGGTTCACAATGCACAGCAAGGCAGAGGAATTTTAGTTAAGTCCTCTATTATGGTTTAAATATCCCCCAGAAGCTCATGGTGTGAGACAATGCAAGAAAGTTCAGAGGAGAAATGATTCGGTTGTAAGAGTCTTTAACCCAGGGCTCAGGTTGTGGCTCATCCGTAGTGCACTCTCCTAGCCATGTGTGAGGCCCTGGGTTCAATCCTCAGCACCTCATAAAAATAAATAAAAAAATAAAGGTGTTGTGTACAATCTCAACTAAAAAATAAATATTAAAAAAAGAGTCTTAACCCAATTTGTGAATTAATCCCGATAGGGATTAACTGAGTGGTTACTGAAGTGGTGGGGTGTGGCTGGAGAAGGTAGGAATTGGGTCCTGGTTTGGGGGGTATATATTTGTATCTGGCAAGTGGAGACTCTTTTTCTTTCTGCTTCCTGATTCCATGTGAGCTGCTTCCCTCTGACACACTCTTCTGCCATGATGTTCTGCCTCACCTCAAGCTCCGAGGAATAGAGCTGGCCTTCTATGGACTACAACTTCTGAAACTGTGAGCTGTAAATAAACCTTTCCTCTTCTACAGTTGTTCTGGTCAGATCATTTAGTCACAGCAGTGAAAAATCTGACTAAAACAGCCTCAATGTGAGGGGGACACTTCTCTAAACAGATTAATACAGCTAGATTTGTTATCAAGAGATGGCCAGAGTGGGACCAGAAGGACTGGGAGTATGCTGCATATATAACAGAGCTCAGGAGCTCAGGGTGTGGCTGCACAGACTCCCTACACTGCCCTGAGCAAACAGGACTCTGTTGTGCTCTCTGCCAGTGGTAGTTGTGGCACTGGGATATAACTTTCCTCCTGGTCCTGTTTTACCCAGCTGCACATATCCGACTTCTCATTCAGTGTTTTAGCTTTGGCTTTCCAGAGATCTCTATTCCCATACTTCTGTCCTGAGTCCACACGGTGATCTGTAGGGGTGAAGCAGGGTATCAGTGATGGAGTTTTTGTATTCAGACAATAATGTGTGAGCTCCAAGAATAGCAACCCTGCAGTAATGGAGGAGGGTGTTGCTGTGCTCCAACTGAAGCTAATGAAGCCCCATCCCCAGGAATTTTTCCAAGAGAAGAGCCAGGAATCATACTTAGGATCTTGCAGACCATAGGGCTTTAAAGGAGACCCCAACTACTTTGAGGAATGGTGAGACACAAAGTCTCAGGCTGGAAAGAGAAGCAGAGAGTGTCCAGAGATGAAAGTTTGTCAGTGTCTGTGACATCACAGACATGACCTCATAGTTCTTTCGGACCAGAATCAGTAGCAGGTAAGGTGGGGGTGCAGCTGTCAGACTGAGGCAGCTCTGTTCTTGATCTGGATTTGTTGTTTTCTCTGGCCATCTCTTCAGAAAGGCTCATTCCATGGTAATTTTGGAAGGCCCTTGTGTGTCAGTTCTGTGTTTTGAATGAAATTCTTCAAGTTTTTCTGTTAGCTGGTAGTACCCGTCCCCAGCAGCCACTAGACATCCAGACAGAAGGACACATTCTCCTGCCTGGGTCCTCTGGGGCTGTCAGAGGTTGGGCTGCCTGCATGCCATCAATAATACAACCAGTGGAAAGTCTTGAGTTTGTATTTGTATTGATTTCCTGAAACATTATTCAAACATGCTGTGGATATCTCTTAGATTTTTAAAAACTACTCTTGAACTCACATTTCCTTGTAGCTACAATCTCATCTCTCCACATGTTCCCCTTTCTGTCTTGTCTTCTCTAATCTGGCTTCTGCTACCACTGTTTCACTGTTATTCTTGTTGAGGGGTCCATTGATCTCTGGGTTGAAAAATCCAATAAACTTTTCTTGGTCCCCAAATCATTTGACATCTCAAGAACCTCCAGCCCAGGGCTGGGGCTGTGGCTCAAGTGGTAGCGCGCTCTCCTGGCATGCGTGTGGCCCCGGTTTGATCCTCTGCACCACATACAACAAAGATGTTGTGTCCGCCGAAAACTAAAAAAAATAAATATGAAAAAAAAGAAAAAAGAAAAAAAGAAAAAAGAAGAAGAAAAAAAAGAACCTCAAGCCCAGTTGATCACTCCCCCCCACCTTGAAATTCTCCATTCTCCTGACATTCCAGTGTCCTCGCCCTCTGCCTTTCCTTCTCCTTTTCAGATAATGCTCTTCTTCCATGCCTCTCGTTATTTCTCAGGCTTCAGTTTTAGGTCCTCCATTTCTCACTCAGCCAAGGATCCTAAAAATTAAATAGGCATAGAGATCATTTTAGAAGTTTATTCCAAATGCAAATTATTGAGATCCCCCCGCCCCCAGAAATTGTGTGTATATGGGACAGCCTAAGTTTTCTATAACCAATACCTGAGGGTCATACTCATGCAAGAGGTTCACAGACCACACTTGTAATCATCGCAATTTTCTTACTCTCAGCTTTAAATACCCTATGAAGATGGTTTCCCATCTGGTTTCTCATCTGAGCCATAGAGTTTAAATCCTGTGGCCTACTTTACTGCACCATTTGAGTTTCTTGTGCATTTTCTAACTGCAAAGTATCAAAAACTGAACCTCTGAATTTTCTCCCCAATATCTGCTCTTTTAGCATCATTTCCATCTTGGTAAATGGCATCTCCTTCCACTTGGCACCCTCTTTAAACAAGAAATCCAAAGGTTATCCTTGATATCTTCTGCCTCATCCCCTAACTAATCAGTATCATCCAATCGCTTAGACTGCCTGCCTTGCCCTTGTTCCTATTTTGGTGGTACTAAGCTACAAAGAGCATCGATCTTCTGCCCTGAAGGTAGCAGCAGTTCATAACCCTGAATGCTTTGAGGTCAAATACCGGTTTAAAAGAGATCCAGGCTTTTAACTTCTGGCTTGCTCCCTATGAGGGAAGCCCTTTCTTAACCCTGTGAGGGCTATTTTTGCCATAGTAACTTGGCCAGGAACAGCTCTCAGACAACTTCCAGACCACAGGGAGGCTCTGGTTTCCTGACAGGCCTTACAAAAACTACAGCCTTCTCCTTGTCAAATAGCCTCATTCTCAGCCAGGTGTCTGCAGAATAGGCTAACATCCTTATCCTGATTCTTGTTCCTGGAGGTGGTTCTGAAGGTCTAGTTATAGCAGGTCTACCGTTAAGTCAGGGATGGCTAGACCTCTCCAAAAGCAGAAGGCAGCTCTAGGAAATGCCTAGCCTGAGGAATCTGTGAATCTGTGAGGTAAATATCTTCCTTCCTGTAATGTAGCAACTCTTCTGTGTGCACTGCCTGAAGGCAGATGAGTGTACTACTCTCAGTGGAACTTCTCTCACAGACAGCACACTGGAGGCTCTTCCCTCAAGTGGGAGTAGCTACGGAAGCTTCATCCACAGTGCACCCAACCATGGGGCTCCATGCAGCATGGCCATGTCATGAGCACTGTTCTGGGAGTTGCCAAAGCTCTTCCTACAGACAGTGTACTGATAAGGTCTCTCCCCAATATGCATCCTCTGTGGGGCAGTGAGGCTGGAGCTCTGGTTGAAGGTTTGCTCATACTGAAGGGGCCTCTCCAGTGAGTTTGCTGATGGGCACTGAGGTCAGAGCACTCACTGAGGCCCTTCCCACACTCACCACCCTTGTGAGACTTCTTTCCCGTGTGGATGCTAATGCCAAACAAGGTAAGAGCCTCTACTAAAACCATTTCCACATTCAGAACCATCAGAAGCCTTTCCCACTGCGGGCTTAGCTTGTGGGGAAAAGGGTGCACTCTGAGTTGTTTTTCCCACACAGGGTGTGAACAGGCCATGTCCTGGTACAAAGTCTCTGGCAACTTGTCTTCCCCAGGCTGAGGGTCTCTCATCACCTGCCCCAGAGAGTGTCTGTGCAGGTTTCTTGGCACTGGGCTCACTCTCCCAGGCTTTTTTTTTTTTTTTTTTTTTTTTAGCTCAGAGTGGTAAAATCTTTGTCTACTAGATGTTCTCTGTAAAGGCTTGCTCATTTCTATTTCTGAATTATCTTTTTAAATCACTTTCTTGATTTCAAAACCTGGAAAAAATGCATTGGACTATGGAGAAGGAAAACAATGTAACAAGGGCAATAAGAAAGAAACACCCAACTGGAATTTTCCATGAGGTTAAGTCTCCTGCTAATCAGAAGCCTAAGTTTATTTTCCAATTGTAATATTTTTGAGCTCCAAATTCTGGGGTCACAGGCAAATTATACACTAACCTCTACAACCTTTCTTCTACCCTGTCATTTGGATATCCTGACATGATGACAAAACTAAGGCTAACAGTGAGCTCTGTGTCCTCTGTCAGTATGTACATAGGTGCGTTCTTAATCTCAAATGGCCTGACTTCTGGTAGCAGACCAACAAAAGGCCACCCTGGGTTTGGCCAGTTCAAAGTGGGACAAAGCAAGCTGTTGAGCCCCTGTCAGCACAGGGGTGACTGTGCTGGAGATGATGGAGTCTGGCCTGCAGGCTTAACTAGCAATCTGAGTATGACAAGCAGTGGAATTCCATGGGAAAAGATGTCCCGGATTCAGTGAACGAGGTCAGCGAGTGCTCCCTCTAGAAAACAAGGGAGATAAAAGCCAAGATTCCTGGCCTGACAGACTCACACATGGAGATGACAACAAAGCCCAAAGCAGTGCCCACTCCCTCTAGTCTGCTAGGCTAATAGCCTCCAAGTAGACGTGCCCAACCTGTCAGGGCTGAAAGTCCCACCAGGTCTGTGTGGGGACAGGACTGCAGGCCTAGTCTTCTAACTTCTGGGCCAATATTTCTGCAGTCCTTCTGCACAGTTCACAATGCAACTTCCACAACCCCTGTGGGCTCCTGTTCTGGCTCCTTTGTGCCTTAGCAACATTTCCTTCTTATCCAGGAACAGCATCACCTGCATAGGAGGTCCAGGAGCTTGAAGGAACACTCATTTCTTCAGAAAAGGTACAAGACTCGGGCATAGGGCCTCTTAATGGTTTTGGTAACTCAACTGTAGGCTTTTTTTTTAATTTGGAGACAGGATCTCTCTAAGTTTCTCAGGGCCTCACTTACGCTGGAAACTGGCTTTGAACTTGCAATCTTCCTGCCTCAGCCTCTTGAGCTGCTAGGATTACAGGCATGAGCCACCATGCCCAGCTCAACTGTAGGCTTTTGAACTTGGTGCAGAATTGCTCTGGAGTGTATAGAAAACCCTGCTCCTGGAGTCACTCTGTCATGGCCCAGCAGACGTGGTTGTTCCACGAACTGAGAGGGTTTTCAGAAAACCGAGAGCTACTGAGGATGGCCAGGAGTGTCCTGGTCTCCTCATAGTCCCAGTGCACACTGCCACAGTGCACAGTGATTGGGTTGGGGAGGACCGTCTATCCTTAAATGCAGGGGTTCAGTAGCCTCAGAAGCTGTATCTTAGTTCCCCAAACTACACTACAACTGCCTACTGTTATTCTGGGAAGACACCTCACTGGCTTTTCCCATAAAACATAAGAATGTTCAGGGTAGTATAAAAGGCATCCTCTCCCAACTGACATGGTCTGCAGAATTCTCCACAAAATCTGCCCTTTCTATTTACTCATCCTGAGTCCCACTCATTTCCCCAGGAGAAGAGACTCACTGTAAGGGTTGTGGCTTGCTTGTCTCCACAGTTTGGGACATGCTGAAGGTACCACTAAGAAGAGGGTGAACAGGAGAGACTTGAAGGGAAGCCAAGATTCATGGGCAAAAAGCCTGGTTATAGGATGTACTCCCCTATTCCTTATCTAAAACAGGAACACCTCCTTATCTGGCCCATCTGTTTATGTAAATTACAAAATGAGAATAAATAGTGAAAGTCGGCCATCTGATGGGGAGCAGGATAGGTGAAGAGTCATGAAGTCAGAGTGGGCAGTGAAAAAATACTCTGAGCAGCTCAGTGGATGGCATGAAATCTTTCCGATGTCTCTAGATGAAAAGGGGTTCAGGGTGAAAGTAAATGCTAAGGTGAAATGGGAATCTCAAAAGAGACAGAAGGTGTCAACCACAGCTTACTTGGGACCCAGCTGTCCAGACCCCAGCACCTACCTCCTGTGTCAGAGCCCCTCCTCAGGCAGATTCCTGAGAGCTGGAGGAGCAAATCTAGCTGGAGGAGAAAGAGCCACTGTTAAGAGGGGAACTTCTGCACAAAGCTGAGGTTCTCGTGGTAGGCTTCCCAGGAACCTGTCCAGAGTGCAAGTTCCTAGGCCCCACCCCAGAGCCTCCAGGTGATTCTCTGGCTGCTCCGAAAGGGGCCATCTCCTTCACGAGCACTTTCAAGTCTCAGAATCTGAGGCCTGAAAATACCAATGACATTCTTCACAGAGCTAGGAAAAAGTCCTAAAATTCATTTGGAAGAATAAAAGAGAGTAAATAGCCAAAGCAATTGTAAACCAAAAAGCAATGCTGCAAGCATCACAATACCTGTCTTCAATAATCACAAAAATTATACTACAGAGCTTTAGTAACAAAAACTGCATGTACTGACTTCAAAACAGACAGACCAATGGTATAGAATAGAAGTCACAGACAAACCCACCCAGATGCAGTCATCTGATCCTTGACTAAGGTGCCAAAAACACATTGGAGATCCATTTTAACAAATGGTGCTAGGAAGATGGGTTATCCATATGTAGAAAAATGAAACTAGACCCTGTATCTCACTTTGCACAAAAATCAACTCAAAATGGATCAAAGACATAGGAATTAGACCAGAAGATATGCAACCCCTAGAAGGAATATAAGACCAAAACTCTAGCATAAAGGCATAGGCAATTGATTTCTCAATAGGACCCCTAAAACTTAGGAAATAATGCTAAGAGTTCATAAATGGTATGACATCAAATTAAAAAGCTTTTACACAGCAAAGGAAACAAATCTGAATGTGAAGAAAAACTAGAGAAGAGAGAAAATCTTTGATAGCTATTCTTTTTTTTTAAGAGAGAATTTTTTAATATTTATTTTTTAGTTTTCGGTGGACACAACATCTTTATTTTATTTGTATGTGGTGCTGAGGATCGAACCCAGAGCCGTGTGCATGCCAGGCAAGCACGCTACCGCTTGAGCCACATCCCCAGCCCTGATAGCTATTCTTATGATATAAGATTAATCTCTAGAATATATAAAGAACTCAAAAAAACAACACCCAAAAAAATTCAACCCAATTAATAAGTTAGCAAATTAATTAAACAGACACTTCTCAAAAGAAGAAATATAAATGTTCGGGGCTGGGATTGTGGCTCAGTGGTAGAACGCT